ATTTGAAGGATGTGTTGTATTTATTTTTACTTTAATCCTTCAAAAATTCAGCTATGTTTAAAATTATGTACATTATCTGGTGACTTAATTTTCGCCAAATATATTTTGCTCTCATTTCCAAAAGATATTTCTTGATACTTGTGTCAAGTATAATTGTAAAATATTTAATCATTTTATACTTTTCTATGTAATCACCTTAACTAAATAGAAACTAAATTTATAATTAATTAAAATTAAAATAATTATTTAAAAAATATATATTCGAGAAGAGCTTTATATTTTTCAAATTATCTAAAGTCGAGACAAGACTGTTTTTCCTTTTTAATATACTTTAACGATCTGTTCAATATCATTACGAATTATTATTTATTGTTAATATAAATCTATCCCTTTTTTCAATTCTTAAAAATATTTTTATATATTTCTATAAATTATATCATGTATTACTCTATAATTAATACGTAACAAAAATAGGATTATAGCTTAAAGAATAAACTACTTGTATTAATAAATAACTATGCGTTAATATCATAAAAATAGAATGAAAAATGGAGTTTATCAAATATATCGCATAGATATGATATAATATCATTTGATTATACACATTTTTTTAATTAGATTTTTAAAATAGTTTTTATTTATTTAATTATAGCAATTTCAAATCCATGTTTTGACATTTTAGTGAAATAGTATTTTCTATTAGTTAATGCTAATGTGTTTGTAAAATCTATAATATATGTAAAATAATACAACAATATAATATAATAATGTTTAAAACATTTATAAAAATACTTTAATTCTAATTTGTTTCAAAATTCTTTTAAAAACGCATACTTCAAAATTACCGCAGAATATTTTTCTATTAAGTTATGATAGAAAATTCACTATTAGACAAGGATATCGCATAGAAAAGTATAAAATCATTAAATATCATGTTAGTTTTCAAAATACGTGACAGAAAATTCTAAATGTATGGGGTTTCTCGCGTTTTATATTACAATATAAAAAAGCTAATGCAAGTACGAGAAACCTTCGATACTTCTAGTCTACTTTTAATTAGAAACTTCTCGTTGCTCTTATGACACAGGGCTAGCTTTGAAAGCATGATAAAGTCAGTTTTAAATGGAGCATTGGTTATGTACACTGTTTATGCAAACATTATTCTCTAATAGTACATTTGTATACATGTAATTTCATACGCATCTCCAGTTTTTTTTTCAATTTAGAAATATTAATATATATATATATATGTATAACAATTTTTTTCTCTACCGTCATATCTCGCATTAAGGTACCTAGTTCGGAGATGTTTCTCTATTACACAAACATCATTACATTTTGTAAAAGGCTCGCCAGCCAAGATTAATCGAATACGATGAACGGGGCATGGCAAAAATTTACTTAAGGAAAGACTTTTACAAAGTCAGCGCATAAATCTAATTAGCTGCCTCTCTTATTTTAAACCACATCTTGTTTCTCGAAGTAGTATTCTACGCGAATTTAAAACGAATATGCAAATGTATATGCATTTTTATATACATATATACATAAATATATACAGGGTATCCCAAAACCCATAATCAATCTTTTAAAGACAGGTTCCTGGGATCATTTGGAGACGATTTTTCCTCAGCGAAAATGTCGATGAAGGCCATCATTTTTTGCATCATTTTTTCCCAATTTTTGTCATATATCTTTGCAATTAAGCCTTAAATTAAAACTTAACTAAAGTAAACTCTATTCTACCTAAAATTAATTGAAGAATGTGATTTTGTTAATATTTTATTTCTACAAAGCTTAGTTTACGAAAAACCCCTTATTTCCAATCACTTATAATTCGAAAATTATTAGTGCCTTGACATGTATATATATATATACATGTATATAAAAATGCATATACATTTGCATATTCGTATATATATATATATGTATATCTGTAGCAATGAAAATGCGATATAAGTATGTGTATGTATGTATGATATCCATGCCTATCACGCACACTTATATTTATATTCACTCATTAATTCATTCGCTCACACATATGCACACTGCTGCCCGCGTCACGAGTAGCATAACGAATGAATCCTCGATTTGTTTTTAAATGATTTCAACGATAAAAAAAACTGTCCTACGTATTTACACGATTTCTCTATTTTCGGTTACACAGCACGCAGTTACCATCATGTATATATATATATATATATATATATATGTATGTATATATGCAGCTATTTATACCGAGCCATATCGTCGAACACGAAAGCACTTGAATAACGTTTCGTTTTACCCTGATCTTTTAATATCCAACGCTCAATGACAATCGGTGAAAATTGTAAGGTGTCCTCTATTGTATTCGCTCAAGGCGTGTTAGAATTTGCGCGGCAGTGTTAGTTAATGAGCGATGAGAAAATGGAACGTGAAATGGCGGAAAATACTTTTCGAAAATATGCACGAGATGATATTATTAAATGCAGGTTTGGTGTTCATAATACTAAGTACATAGTACTAAGCATCATTAAATGCCTTAATTTATTAAATATTTTCATGTTTTCCAAACCAATACATATAGTATATTATTATGAGAATTAATTAGAAATATATCGACAAAGATTAATATTGCTAGTGCGATTGAAGCTGATTTAAAAAAATGGAAATGATTGATGTTTTATGATTTTGTATATTGAAAATGCACTTTCCGCCGTTTTTGTCATTTTAAATGTCAAGATGCTCATCGCTAGAGGCACTCTGTCCGCGATGCGAAACTGTCAAGTAAATGCGCACGTGTAATCATATCGCGATCATTATTATAACGCTAGCAGAACCAGTTTTGTGTGTGCACCATTAATATAAATCCTTGCTAATTCCGATTCCCTTCTTCATCGGAGTTTCTTCGAGAATGTTTTGCCATATTAACGGAAGTGAAAAAAATATATATACTTAAAAAATTAAAATGTAATATAAGACATATTCAACTAAATTAATTCTATGCATCGCGAAAAAAATGGGAATTGTCCCTGAAAATTTTAGCTAGATATTTATCGCGTTGCGTCCCTAAAAATTTTAACTAAACATTTGAGAAATTAATTTTTTCTCGGCTTGAATGAATATAATAAAAATGTAAATTCAAAATGTGAATATATATATGACACTTTTGTTATTCAATATTTTAGAATAATCAGCGAATTAATCATTCTTTTTCTTTATCGCAATTTCTTTTTGCCGCAACATTTTGTTCAGCAATAAATTTTTCATTACAATAACAATTTTTTAGCATATATATATCACTCGAAGAAACTATATACGCTTACCATATATTTCCTTGAGAGCTGAATTTATCAATAATCATGCTCTCGCTCTCGTATTTCTCGTCATTACCAATATTCACAGCATGACAAAAAGTGCACAATGATAATTAGTCTTACTTAGATCTCTCTCTATGCTTTGCTCCTACATCGGATATCTTAAACAAAACGCATAAATGAGGCACTTGCCCGCGAATCTGTACCGGCCATACTAATACTCCATTCCTGTTATAGATCAAGATTTGCCAACAATTAATACACGGAAGGCACGCCTCGTCTCTCGCGCGAATGCTTAAATGTCTCTACAGAGTGTTTCAATTTTTTTTCTATCTTGCATCAGTCTAAGCATCTAACAGGCCACTGCTACGAACACAGTCCTCATATGGATATCACATTACATTACTACGATTCAATTCTTCAACTTCAGTCGTCGTTGTTGTCAGCGTACTTTTCCTCACAATCGATTCTCTTCGTCGTCATCATCATGAAGAAAAAATACATAAAGAAACAATTTGAAACGATCTAATTCTATACAAAATTCCATGGTAGTCGTGAGTGTGGAAACGCGCGACAGATAGACTTGGCAAAGCTTGAAAATACCATAGAAAAGTAGATCCTTGGCTCGATCACAAGACTATCCTCTTTACATTGATTTATGACAACGTGCGAGGTTATTCATCAGTTTATATATGATCACGATCGCATTTCCCGACACGATTTTTAATCATTTCACTGTAAAATTTTGGAAAGAGGAGAGGAAAGGGGTTTAGGTGTTCAAGATAGTTCCTGGCTCTTCTTCTAATCAAGTTATAGGAGAAATATACAGTTACTTTCTGCACTTCTACCGCATCCAGCACTGCTACTTCTTCAGAAGCACAAAGTTACATTTCTAAACGCGTTTTTCAATCAAATCTTAAAAATGAAGCATTTTAGTTTATCGATGATGCTGATCACTTTCGCGGAGCTTCGTCTAAACCGCGTTTAATTTGCGTCAAAAACACATCGAGTTCGTGGCGTCGTATGTTTACGATAGTTTGTATTCCTAAGCAGAAAATTATCGTCCTCGCTATTATATTGGGCCATGGACTGAGATCGCGATGGCGGACTAGCCACATACGTGATCATATTATTGAAGTTGGGCAAGAACTGTGGATTAAAGAGCGACAGGATCCTCTCGTTGAGCTCGCGTGGATTTCGAGTGGGTACCATATAATGATCTCGACCGTTGTTCGTCAATTCCCCGTGTCGATCAAATCGATTATCGTCGACAGTGGAACGATGTGACCCGCAAAGATCGTCGAGACTATTGGCGCTATCGCTACTGCCAGTATCTTCAAGTTCGCATGTCGGTGGTGCATTTATTAGCGTAGTCTCGACGCACTCGACGGACTGATGATACCGAACACATTTCGGAGCTGTTGGAATGGATCGCTGCTGCGTCGATTCATAGGGATCACAGTACTCGAGCATGCAAGTCTCGTCGTTTACGATGCTCTCGTAGTGATCTTCGTAGCGATCCTCGTCCAACTTATGCGTATTGTTGGTGTGGTCCGTAGCGATACCGGTGGTGAGGCTCGTAGGAGGTGTCGTCCCGTCGTCGTCCTCGTCGTCGTCGCCGTCTTCTTCATTGCGCTCGTCCGATTCTGCGATATCGGAGGAAGAGGAGATGGAAGATGCGCCAGAACCCGTGGGGTCCTGTGACAAGCCTCAGACGGCTCTGTGTCGTCTTCTGTATCATATATATGTTTTCTTCACTTTCTGCACCGGCTTGTTTTCCGCGGACGAATTAGCATTCTTGCCGTTTGGGTTCTTAGGCGGCACATTCAGCACGAGATTGATAGATTTATTGTTGAATCCGGGTGATTCCGAGCTTTCGGTCAGTCGGTTGAGTTGTTGCCGCTGCTCGGAAGGTTCCGGATACGACGAGCCACGTAATCTTTGACTAAACCAGAAGCCAAAAGCGAAACCAGCTACCAGGGAGCATAAGCAAGTGCCTATCAGAGCACCAGTCAACGTTTGGGCCGAATATACCACCGGAGTGACTGTCACGCCTGTAATGTATACATCGAGAAATCATTATTATTTTCTTAATAATCTAAAAGCTATAGCAAACTTGAAACATTGCAATTTTCACTTGATTTTCTTGAAAACAAAGATTCCTATAAAAAGAAAGAAGCAGTATATTGAAATTTCTACATTGTTATCAATATTATTCACTCATATAGAATCGTTAAAATCGGTTAAATTCAATAACGGACCACCATATATATAGCGCGCACCCGATAGGACACAGGTTAAATATGCGAACATAAAAGTGAATCTCCGGGAATAAATGAAATATTATGAGAGGAGAATTGCCTTAAAGCGGGATCGCGCAAATTATGAGTACAGGACTTTCGACTTCGAACACTGAAGGTAAAATACTGTCTGCGTGAAGTGTGTCGGAATGAGCAAATTTTGTATAGCGCAAATGATTACCTTGAGGCTCGTTAGCCCTTGGCTGCGTACGGCCGTATTGATTTTCCCGATCCAGTTCGATGACGATTTCATTGTCCCGTTCATCGGGCTGCTCGTCGCGCCCAATTTCGGGCGCCGCCGCTGGTTGTACGGGCTTCGTCATTTCTGGAGTAACATTTACCCAATATGATGATAGACGATAGAGATGATTACACATACAAATGATTACGCATACGTATTACAATAGATGTTACATGTATCCTTGCACCTTGTTTTAGATAGATACTTTCAAATCCTATTTAGATATCTCTGACGATTGATTAAAATCTGTTTTTATTTTACGTTACATAATTTATATTGTTACCCTCTTTAACTTTCTATTTTATTATTGTCAGACACAATTTCAAATTGTGATGTATGGATATCTAGATATGATCTGGAGATCCAACTTGGAAATGCCGTGAAGCATAGTGTACGCATGAATATATTATGAGATGACTGATCGTGAGCTGCGTTAGCCATGCGAGCAAAACTCTTAGCATAGTTTAATGCGTGAAATATTATTTAATGTTCACTAGCAGCGGCAAAGGATAGCTTTAATATTTATTGCATGCATTGTTTAATGGTATTTTCCCTTCAAAGAGAAAGCGCATCACATATTTAGATGGCCACATATTAAATTTCTTTAAATTAATTGCGCCGTTTTCTATTTTTAAGACTAAATTGCGATAAAAGCATTTAATATAACATACTTTGTATTTACATGTTTATGAGATAGAAGAAAGCGAGGAGGAAAATAAAGTATAGGAGTGTAAAATGAACACGCTTGGTATGAGCATAGGAGATTTAAGAAAGAAAGTTGTTTGTGAAAAAAGTAATCTTTTCAAACTTTCTATTAATTTCTTATTTTCGATATTCTTTCCTAATAAAATTGCTGTTTTCTTTTTAAAATAAGAAATAATGACGAAACGAATAATGATTACAAGGGGATCAATTTGATTACGTTCGCGCTAGGAAAATATATTAAAGCTTGAAGAAATTATGACGCGTCGAAAAATGTGCACAGAAAACTTTTTAAAAATTTCAAATCTCTTTTTAAATCGCTATGCATGTTAAATTCATTATGACGATTTATGAAAAAAATGCAAGCTTCAGCATAAACATGATTCTGCTGTTTATTCAAAATAGAAAGATCAGAAATAAGCTCGAATAAATTGTTCGAATAAATTGCTCGAATAAAGTGCTCTTAATATAAATATAAAACAGTTCGAAGTAGAAATGTTCCAACTTCAAATTAAGATAATATTCGATGTCACTTGCAAATTACCCCGTAAAACTTTTCTTATTAATTGAATAACATATTGCCATATTGAAATATCAAAGAAGTAGTGAAAACAAATAAAACAGAGAATCAGGTCATATCGGATAAAATTATTAAGCAAGCGACCAAGGCCGCGTGCCGTCATATTTATTGATTTCTGAAAACAACACGAATATTTTAACAGTAATATAATCACACACTAATATAATCTACATTATATCGAACGTACCTTGCTCGTATCCGCAGTTTCTATGCCTCCCGGTCGGGATATCTTGGAATAGCGTTTTGCTATTGTCGCTATCGTGGAGTTTTGTCGGTACCGCGACGCAGAGATTCGCAATTGCGTCCCAGGCGCAGTGGGGATCCTGCAAAGCGACGCAAGTTTTGCAGGTAGCCGCGGCGGGTGAGTCGCAATGATGTAAAGGTACCGCGCGAATCTCAGAATCCGCGAACACCATTAATTTGCTCGCTTCACCGGCCAAATGAACCACCAAAAGGTCTTTGACCGCTTGGCCTGCAATCGCAAAGAATCACATATTTCAATAAATGCATGTATATAACACTTTAAATAATTCTTTCCTATCCGTCCTATGCGTAATAAAACACACCATTATTACGATCATGTAATAAGTTTACTTACCGAATTTTAATACCTGCACATCGCTGACGATAACTTGGCTCACGTTGACACGTGTCTCGGGTGCGCGTGTGTTGAGTGCCTTCAGAACACGGCCGTCATCTGTATGCAACAAGTTTATTTCGTTAATTTTGCATATAAATTATTGTTATAAATATATTACACACACACAATACATTAATCATTATCATAATATATAATAAATTAAGTATTATTATATAGATAATAATAATAAATAATTATCTATATAAATATAATTATATAATTATATTTATATAGATAATTATAAATGATTAAATAAATAAATGATTATACCTGTTCCGATGTAGAGCACATCATAAGCTTTACCATCCAATGCTTTCACTTGAGAATCTACAACGACTTTGGTAAATCTGTAACTGCAAACGTTAAAATATCCCATATTAAAAAATATGTTGCGCTACAAAAATACGTTATTAAGAAGAGATATAATTGTTATAAAATTAACCTTTGATAGAAAAACACTGGTATGAAAAATCCACGCAGAAAGAATACTCGTATTTTTTCATGTGTATATAATATGATGCACATTACATTTTTCTCTAAATTTAGCATTAAAAAATAGCTTGAAATGTAATTATGGATTTATTAGGATTTTTCATAAAAAATTGTCATATTAAAGAAAAATTTAACTTTTAATTTTAAAAGTTAAATTTTTAATTTTAAAAGTTAATTTTAAAATTTTACAATTAATCCAATTAAAAATAATTAATTAAACTCTATTAATTAATTAAATTTAACTTTTAATTTTAAAAGTTAAATTTTTAATTTTAAAAGTTAATTTTAAATTTTCACAATTTAATTAATACAATTAAAAATAATTAATTAAACTCTTTTATTTTTAGTAATTCGTAGATGAAAGAAATGTATTATAAATAAGACATAAAAAATATATTACATTAACATTATGTGTTTTAATAAAAATTATGATAAAATTACTCACTTAAAACTGGTTTTAGTTATCACAGGTAATGAAAAGTAGGACTGCACCGCATCATCCATGAGGGGATGAGCCTTGACGAAATTGACAGTGATGTCCGGAAGCGTCCTAGAGTCGTTGACACAAGCACCGGGTCTGGGCTCAGGTACTTTTTCCGGAAGTACTCGCAGCCAATTGCTGTTTATAGTTTCCTGTTCCTTGAAAGCACTCTGGAAGACCTCGAGAATGTTGTCCATGGAGAACGCGCAGACAGCCGAGCCTCCGATGGAGTTCACAGGAGTCGTGAAAACCGCATACACCAGACGCGCAGATTTACCCGCGTATCGACCCTCCGTAACATCGCTCGTTGATTCTGGATAATAGACAAAAAGAGGTATGTACATCTGGAGGTATGTATATCTGGAAATGTTAAATTGTAGATATTACGAACATTTTTTAATCGAGAAAATGTTTCTCGTTCGACAACATTTATTAAAAAATTTATTAAACAATAATTCTGCCACTTGGCGGAAACCTAAGGTTAAATTAAATAAAAAATGTTAAATCAATAAGTCGATTGTTCAATGAGCTTTCGAAGAATACAAGAGAGATTTTAGATCATATAAAGAATTTTCAAAAGGCTTCATATTAAATACGTCAAGATTTAATAAGAGTTTCCACTTAATGTTTTAATCTTTATATATATAAATATTTAACGAATTAATCGAACGAATGCATTCCGATTCATCTTTTCGTTTGGTATATATAAATATTCAACGAATTAATCGAATGATTGCATTCGGCTTGCCACTTTACTCGCCGCGTTACAGTGAATATCGCGCGAGAGAGGCAGGCAACATGCGCGGCGTCGTGCACGATTTCGTCCGCGCGCAGACGAAAAACGGCCAATTTATATCTCGACTTCCGGACGCGATAGCGATTTCGTTCTTTTTGCATAAAATTCTACACCATTTCGCGGCACTACCTTTTAAATCTCGTCCCGATCGCCCGAGGAGCGGCTGACTTATAGTGAATATCCGAAATCTGCTTCTTGGACTCACACTTAAATGTATTAGAAGCGCGTGGCGAGTCGTCCCACTGTAATCCGATACCACGAGCGCAACGAATCGGTGGACGGGTCGCTCTCCGAGACACGATGGTGGTTTGCGATATATCGAAATACCGCGCCGAAAAATGACCCGTCCTTTTAGTGGCGAGAAAATGATGCGCTATCATTTCCACACCACCTTGCGGTAGATAGCACGGTGCGCTTTTTTTATAGTAGTTTCCCCCATAGGCCTATTCCACTCTCAATTTGAAAATTATTCAAAATGCCATTACTATACGCTAAATATATCGTAAATGTAAAAAATTAATGGTGACAGTACCTTTACAAAAATTGATCCGTGGTTGAAAATTCCTCGATAAAATGTATTGCACACGTTGATAATGATACGATGATAAAATGCTTCAAGAATCCTTTCTTCATCTCGTACACGAAGGCGCACTGCTGGACCGGATATCCCGATATTATACACGACACCCAGTTTCACATAATTATTACATGTAAAATTGTACGGCCACTTGGTTTTCGTGCACGCCCGAGAAATGATTCCATGTAAATTGCGGCCGCACGATAAGTATTTTCTCCCGCTGGTCCGTATGCCACAATCATATATTCCTGCAGAGTACACTTCATTTTCACTGTTAATTTACGCAAACACAAGATTTTTATTAAAATGTCTTAGCTCTCGCACGCTGTTACCAGACTGCGTACACAACTACAGCTGACAGCTGAGCGGACTGTGAATGTAATCGTAGTGCGCAGGCGTCGAACTCACACTACGCTTCCATTCACTTGTCCGCTCAGCTGTCAGCTGTAGTGGCGTGCTGCTGGCGTACGCAGTCTGATAACAGCGTGCGAGAGCTAAGATGTTTTAATAAAAATCTTTAGTTTGCGTAATAAATTAACAGAGAAAATGAAGTGTACTCTGCAGGAATATACGGATATGATTGTGGCATACGGACAAGCGGGAGAAAATACTTATCGTGCGGTCGCAATTTACATGGAATCATTTCTCGGGCGTGCACGAAAACCAAGTGGCCGTACAATTTTACGTGTAATAATTATGTGAAACTGGGTGTGCATAATATCGGGATATCCGGTCCAGCAGTGCGCCTTCGTGTACGAGATGAAGAAAGGATTCTTGAAGCATTTTATCTCATCGTATCATTATCAACGTGTGCAATACATTTTATCGAGGAATTTTCAATCACGGATCAATTTTTGTAAAGGTACTGTCACCATTAATTTTTTACATTTACGATATATTCAGCGTATAGTAATGGCATTTTGAATAATTTTCAAATTGAGAGTGGAATAGGCCTATGGGGGAAACCACTATAAAAAAAGCGCACCATGCTATCTACCGCAAGGTGGTGTGGAAATGATAGCGCATCATTTTCTCGCCATTAAAAGGACGGGTCATTTTTCGGCGCGGTATTTCGATATATCGCAAACCACCATCGTGTCTCGGAGAGCGACCCGTCCACCGATTCGTCGCGCTCGTGGTATCGGATTACAGTGAGACGACTCTCGTCGCTGCGCGCTTCTAATACACTTAAGTGTGAGTCCAAGAAGCAGATTTCGGATATTCTCTGTAAGTCAGCCGCTCCTCGAGCGATCGGGACGAGATTTAAAAGGTAGTGCCGCGAAATGGTGTAGAATTTTATGCAAAAAGAACGAAATCGCTATCGCGTCCGGAAGTCGAGATATAAATTGGCCGTTTTTCGTCTGTGCGCGGACGGTCGAAATCGTGCACGACGCCGCGCATGTTGCCTGCCTCTCTCGCGCGATATTCACTGTAACGCGGTGAGTAAAATGGCGAGCCGAATGCAATCGTTCGATTAATTCGTTTTATATATACCGAACGAAAAAGCGAATCAGAATGTAATCGTTCGATTAATTGATTAAATACTTATATATATCGAACGAAAAGATGAATCGGAATGCAATCAGTCGAATAGTGAATTAAATATTACTTGTTCTTGCCGAGCTCTGTTTTAATCATAAACTACTTGATCATTATATTCGTGAAATATGAAATATGAAAATTCTTTTAAATTATTTATCAAAATATTTTCACAGATATTCTTTTTCTTTCGTTATTTATCATGTAATGTATAAATGATTATTATAGATGCACCAGAAAATAGAAACGTCAATCAGTCAACTCAATTATTTCTGTTTGTATTTCATTATTAATCAGTTTTGACCTTCAATTTTTCACTACTTTTCTTTCAAATATTGAATGGGTCTAAATTTTTAGAAGGTGAATTTTTATCTATATATATGTTTTTTAATACGACTATATATATTATAATATGTATAAATTCGATTCGATTTTTGATAAGTGTTGCCGATTATATAAAATTGTGGCAATTATGTAAATATATAAATATGCAATTAAAAATATTTACATATCTTTCTTTTTATACGCGGAAAAAAGAATATTTTAACTATTATTTAAACATCATCTTTGATCGAGGATTAAAGTAAAAATATTTTTTCAAAGAGATAATTATAGAAAAATTGTATTTATTCTATATTATTTAAATTTTAAATGGTTTTCGATTATTATAAAATTGATAATATATGTGACAAAAATAGCAAAAGTATTCAAACAAAGTATGTTTGGATATTTCCAATAAATCAAACTCAGAAATGAATGATTGTTAATTTACTGAAATTAAATCTAAAATTTAAGAAAATGCTACTAGAATATCGATCATCTCATTTATTCTATGCTATTTATTATTATTTTTTTTATTTATAGATAAACCACTTAATTTTTTACATAAAATATAATTGATAAAATCGAATCGACTAGTATATCAATTTGACAATATAAAATTCATTGAAGGATCTTAATTAACTCATCGGTATCGTAATCTTTTATACATGACATTCAGATGGACACGTACCGACATTAACAGGTACGTGTCATTGGGATTTATTCAGTCGTCAGGTAGAAAATTGAAGCAATAAGCGAAAGTTGCACGATTTCGCGGCGTTACTCAAGTATTCTCGCCATTTGGAGGCGCGCCAACTTTAGCAAGCATAGGAATTTCAATTCGATATGCGGCGACAATATTCTATTCGGGAATAGTGCTCCGCTTTTCTCGTTCATCCTCTATTCCTAGCCGCGATAGTGCACGGCTATTGTGCTTCGCACTCGAGATTAGTCCATTTCGCTGGTAGCTGGAGCAACTTATTTAATTGTGCTATATCTGCGTATAAAATCGGGTAAACGCGGCGGAGAAATATCGCGCAGATATAAATATTAGAGATACCAGTACAACACGTTTCATCTCTGTTATTGTAAGAGAATATAATACTACACCATAACAATGCATCTCTAATATTTATATTTGCAAACAACAAACTACAACTCTTTCTCTCTCTCTCTACGTTAATATAAAATATGTCGCGTATGTAAATATATAAATATTAGAAATGCAAGTATCGTTAGCAGCGCAGTATTACTCCTATTACATCGCCAACATAACACTGGGCGATATGTAACAATGTCATAATTCATTTTTTTAATATTCATATTTGCGAACAACGTTGCGCGACTTGTTTAATTTCGGATAGAGATTTTTGCAGGATCCTATTGTCTGCCGATTTTTTTCTCGTTTTTTTTTTTTTCGAGCTTTAATACAGTACCGCGAATGCATCGACAGATTAAAATCGGTCAGCGTTAAAAATGCAGCCTTCGGGCACTCGTCGTTGAAATTTTTTTCAACCAGCAAAATTTCTCTCCTTCTTACGGTATCTCAGTGAATGCGCATCGCGAGTAAGTACGCGTGTAGCGGAAATCGTAGAAAACCTGAAGAGCAGAAGAGCGCAATATAACGTATATGTACTAAGTAGCGACGTAACGCGGCATACGAAGCGAAGAGGCTCTTTCACGAGCCCTTTCAGGAGAGCGCGAGAGAGCCCTCGTTTGAGACTACTCGAGCGTGGTCACGATCGAAGCCACGAAAAGACGCGCATATGCATACTCACGTATTTCGTTGAAATAGAAGGGGTACTCTCCCGGTACCGAACAGTTGAGCCTTGCTTTCAGGAAACTCGTCCATCTGTCGCTAAATGCGTGAGGCCCGCCCTTATCGTGCTGACAGACTCTGCCGACTCGCGAGTAGACCGCCTGAAATGTGCAAATCGAGCGAAATCTGAATATGAAAAAACTTCAAAAAGCTTTTATTCCCTAACATGAACATGATCAGCAATTGTGTGATATTTTCACGCTCAAGAGGCGATTTCGCAATCTTGTTAAAAATGTTTCAGATGTAGAGATGTGTATCTGTCAAAAATATCGCTTATAGAAAGAGAAATCTTTTTATATTACTTTAATAAATATAAAAATACATAAATATTATCAATTATATTTTATTGCTGTTATTTTATATTTTAACATCGTAAAAATTAAAACATAAATAAGAAATACTAAATTCTTGATTTATCAAAATAGGTTTCCTTTGCCTTTAATACTGACAATAGTTTTTTGATGTTCATATTTGATTCTCATATGTATGTAAATATTTTCACAATTGTTTTTGATTAATAGGCTTTAATTTTTTGGATGCTTCTATCAAGTTGATCTCATAAGAGTTCTATTGGATTAAAAGATCCGATAATTGAGAGAGCTATTTTGGAAGCTATTTCAGAAAAACAAAAATTGTATTATTTGTTATAATTTTTAATATTTTATTATATTTATTATATTTACGATATTAAAGCAAAAAATAACAATAATAAGATATAAGTGGATGATATAAAATAGAAATTTAACATTATTCTCCGATATAAATCATGTAATTTTAATAAATTTTTTCTCAAATGGGATCATACGATATCCCTAACGATATAACAAAAACTCGATAAAAAATTTATGATGAAAAACTTGCTAAGAAATATCAAATGCACGGAAAAAAGAACTTATAATCTTACCTTCCCACAATTCATGTATTCTACGGCTGTCTCGCGATAGAAGAAGAATACGTAATCCTGATACGCAAACGAGCTGACAAAGTTGGGACCTGAAATAATGAGATTGTATTGAATTCGATTATCAAACGGTACGTTGAAGCTTCTTCTACAGAATACCTCAAAATTAGCATGAAAGCGAATGCATAAAATTTTCTGTTATTCGTCAAAAATACATATTGGACGAATTTGTACGTCTGTGCATATCTGAGAAAGAATACGGACGAGATTTGAATATTATTTCGATTTGTTATACACACAACTTTTCAAATTATAAAATCGAATTGCATTAAAATTATTCTAATTATGTCATTATTTAAATAGAATTTGTCAAAGATATAGAATCTGCTCAAATCTTATATATAAAGAATCTTATAAAAAAATTCTTCCAATTATTTTAGTTGAAAATTCCAAGTAAAGTAAATATTTCAAAGATTTTTATGCAATTTTCTAAAATAAATTTTTCTATTGCATGCATCTTTTTGAAATGTTTTTTACTTATATGAAGAAAAGCACAGAGTCTCTTAAATTTCATGTATTAGATTTGTAAATGTATTGAAAAAAAACTGAATAATATTTTTTAAAATTAGCATTTTTTACTTGTATAAAATTTTCATATTTTTATCACTAAAAATTACAATAAAGGATACTGCGTATTTAATACTTTATTAAGACATTGAATACGCAGTATAAATAAAAAAAGATACACATGAATTTCCATGAGAATTCTCTGATCTTTTTGAGAAATTCTACGAAAATTCCAAGTTTTCATATTTTTCTAGAGAGTAGACATTCTGATTGTATAAAAATCTTCTCGTGTACATTTTGATTTCTGTAAAAGATTACCGTTCAACTGATTGAGATCCGAGCGTTCGGTGCGAATTTTCTCCCTGTGAATTAGCGGCTCGCCACCGGTGAAGTCGGCCACTGTCGCGGCGTATAACTGTCCCTCTGAAACATGCATAAACGCTTCCGTCAGTCAGTCACACCTTCCACATTTGCAAGCTAAACGAGCGCCATCAGGTCGACGGAGTATGGCGACTCTCAGGTTAATTCATCCTCCACCTAACGTTCCTTCCTTTTGGAAATTACCCGTTGAATTTACGTCGGCGAGACTATCCGCAGGATAATTCCGCGTTTGTGCACGCACCGGGACGACGTTCTATATGGCATGACCGAACTTTCGCTTCCCTGCTATCAAAGTCCTCGAAGGACCTACTGGGAAACTGGAACGAGCAATTATACCGAGCTTAATACCGCCAATAATCTTCCATTCCCCTTCCTTGAATTCGCAACTCCCCTCGCGTTAATCTGAACATAAGTGCACCAAAATTATGTTCTTCTAATTAAAGCCTTAGTTAACTATAAGCTGCTTATATGTACAAATTAATTACATATAAAATAGGCATTAATATTGAGAGAATCAAGTTTGCCTTCATGTAAAGAAATAGCGATCAGACATATAAATATAAAAATAATATATCTCGCAATTCTTTATTACGATTAAACGATTAAATATATAAATAAGAAGATGTATAGATAGCGTATTAAAATTTGACAGTTAAACTAAGTTGCTCATGTTAAAAGTTTAATTTAAAAAATCGCAGCAAAGGGAAGGAAAAAAACTTGATATCTTCAAGCGGACAAGGACGATCTCGTCATCCTGTGAGATCCTATACAGCGGTTGCGTGAGAGCAGACAATTTTTCTTTATGTCGCGGTGCAATCGGTCGCAAAACCCCGGAAAAAGCCCCGTGGATTTGATCGTGTGTACAAAGTACATCATACGCTGGTACAACGTACACAGTGGGCATCCACGAGGAGAGGAAGGCGGGCGGAGGGAGGGAAACGCTGCTACATTTCCTCCCGTGCTCTCATACAGGAGAGATCCTCGAAGGATTCGCCGCGGCTCTCCTCCTCGCGGGGGCCCCTCCATATTTCACGTTCAAAAAGCACGATGGGATTTGAGGCTGGCCAACGTATGCGCGCGATAAGTGTATATAGCGGCCGGGCGGTCATATATAACGGGGGCGAGGCCGGGACTTAGGGGATGAACGTGCCCGTTGCAGGCTACAAATCTACGCCCTGAGCCATGCAACGCCGATGCTCGCGAATATCGTGGAACTCGCGTAATACCTGCGGGAAAGAGGCTTGGATGCACGTACGCGCGAGCTTCTCTCTATCTCGCCCCCTTCGCGAGACATCGGGAGATCGGAAGCCGTGCACGCGCTCTATACTTAAGGGTGATTTAATGCACCGTCGCCGACGCATTACGTCGTCTCTGCGTAAACTCGGCGAAACTTTCGACAGGACGGGTTGAATCGCTAACAGAGTGTAATACACTGTGATACGGTGCTAAGGAGGTAGAAGGGGGATTAAATACCTTGGTGATTTTCAGCAACAGCAATACTTAACAATACTAGTCGCATTAATTTCGATTTAAAAAATTGCGAGCTAAAACTATGCTACGGGTGAGGAATGTTATCATTCAGTTGATATGGCTCTTGTAAGAGAGGCAGATTTTCATTTGAAAATAAACCGAAGAGTGCTGTGCATTGTATTTTTTTTATATTTATGAACTATGTGTTTTAATAAAAACAGCAGAACGAGTTGTAATTGAGCAGGTAAACGTATATTAATAAACGCTTATTGTGCCCATAATAAACGCTTATTGTGCCTGCCGATAATTAAATTTTTACAAAAATATCGAGGTTCCTGTTATCTAAAAAATGGAGTAGTTCCAACCACATGGATTTTGTACATGCCGAAATATCTCAACGTAAAAAAATATATACCTTATAAAGTGGAAGCGCTAGAAGAATATGCAGTCTATCAGTAAAGCCAAGAGATGAAACTTTTGAAGATTTTCGAAGCAGCAAGATTTCCGTAAGATCTCAAAATCAACGGATGATACGATGATGGAGCGCATTCTATTTCCCGCGGGAGAATACATATCTTAGGAGGAAACCCCCTGAACCATCTCTAACGGATCCTGAATTATTTCCCTATTCTGGGATTTTGCAACGAGCAAGCCGACGAATTCATCGGCACGAATAGTGAAGACCGGCCGCAAAAGTGATATTGTTTGAGAACGTGCAATTACAACAAGTATACTAAAATATTGTAAATAAATTCGCTAAAGATTTCATGTATGATTTTCCAGATATTCTTTTATCCGTAATTTAAAAAAAAAGTTTATTTATCATCCGTGATTTTTGCTGTGCGTTTCACTTTTTAACATTAATAAAATACGTATTTTAATGTTTAACATTAATAAAATACGTATTTTAATGTTTTTAAATTTTAAAAATATTTTATTTTTATTAATATTTTTAGTATTAATAAAATAGTATATTTTAAACTCTTTATGTATTGAATAAAAATATATATACTTTAAAGTACTAATATTACAACATATCATATCGGCTAAATAGTCACAAAATTTGAACAACATATAACAAAATATTATTTAAACTCTAAAAATATTATAAATTATCAGGAAATGTGTGTATACAACATGATATTATTTAAATATAACAAAAATATTTTTAACATAAAATAATACAAAAGAAATTAGTACAGAGATGTTGGTAAAAAATAAATTAATTAATTAAATCATATAAAATTTTAAAATTTAAATTGCAAGAAAATATATTTCTTAACTGTTTAAACTATTAAAAACACAGTTTTCACATAATTTCAAAATTAAAGTTGTCAGCTTAACATAAATGTTTAATGTAAAAACAAAATTATTAATTTTCTATAAAATTTCTTAAATCCCAATAAAATTCCATGAGAATCCCCTGATTCTTCAAGAACAAAAATCTTTGAGAATATTTAAGGTTTTTCCTGCAAGTATACACTGGATTAGCCATATAATGGTAAAATCCATATTAAAGTAAGACGGCATAAAATTCTAAAAAAGACAGAAAAATATTTAATTGTCGAATATTCACATCATAATCGAATTTTATTAGTTAAGAGATAGATTGATGACTAGATTTAGATACAGGATATTTGCAGAATGACTAAATATATTCCCTAATTATTAATAAATTTATATTTTTGCCAGATATTTGCATTACAAAGCTTATAGTTTTTGAAAATTAATCATTGATGACTATTGCAAACTTGCAACTCATAGGTATATATCAAAAAGAGGCTAATATCAGGAATTTTTCTCGATGGAAAAAAAGAATTTATTTTTTATGACAACCACGTATTTAACGAATATCTAACGAATCAGTTTTTTATTACATTTTTTGCAGATAAAAAGAAGCTATATATTGCTAGAAGGTAGAATGAAGTACTTAATAGAATTATTTAATAGAATTCAAAAGAATGAAGTATTTAATAATTAATCTGAAATTTATACTATTTCTTCCGTCATCTCTCGTTAAATTCAAGATAATAGATAATAAATTAAAATTTGTAATTGCATATACGTATGCATATACACCTTTTAATCATGTCGTTATATATTGTACGTTATTTTCACTTTATCAATTTATATCATGTTACAAATATACAATGATTATTACAACTAAATATGAAAAGCGATCTGTAATTAGAAATCAAGAATAAATTTAAACGTTATAAAATATATAATTAACAATATTGAAAATAACTAATCGAAACAAAAATTGATTGATAATTAATGTAATAATTGCAAATAACTTTTATTTATGACATCCGTTTGATCATAGATGGAATCGCGATATAGATAGATGCACACGGATATGATTGGATACGAGGAATGGTAACAAGAATAAAAAAATGTCACTTTTGATATATCGAGAATATCGAGATATCTAGGAAACGCGATAACCGATTTTATTGCGACCATTTCAAATCGCAAGCTTATATCGATGTTGTATTGACGTTGTAAAAATTCGTTAGACTTTTGATTGCATTATTATTTCACAGATTTTGGTCAAAAAATCAAATCGCGGGTCGGGATTTTTTGCGGATTTTTTTTTCACTTCAAAATAGATAAATATATAATATCAATACATCAATTATTTTCACAGCTATTGCTGCAATTATTACTACTTATTATAGTGTTATTATTAATGTTACTATTGGCATATTACATATTTAAAATGTTACATATTTAAAACTTATACATATTTAAATCTTATTAATGTTTCAAATTTATTTCTTTTTTTATATACTTTTATGCACTTTTTGTACCATAAAATGCAATTTTAAATTTCTTTATGTAATTAAAAGAATTATATTTAATTAAATTTTTGTTAAAAAAATTGGAAAGGAATATCTCTCGAGTTTTTAAAAGTTAAAAAATTCATATGTGAAAATATATAAGAATTTAGGATATTTTCTCTTCATCTCTATTACTAGTCTGCTATTATTTAAATAGATAGCATTTAAATGGATGAGTAATATTTTTTTATAGTTTGATTTGTATAGCGCTGCATTGATGCAGAAATATCTTATACGAGTTTGTGAAATGATTTCATTGAAAGCAATGCTTTGCTTTGCCAGAGTATTGATTTGTCGTGGCACTTTAGCGAATACACGACGCGCGCGCGTGTCTCGTAATTAGCAAATTATAACGCTCAACATATGAAACTGCGCATGTTAAACATCAACAGGGGCAAATAAAAAGTTTCCCGGGCAAACACTATGCAAAGTATGCTCTCACATTGAATTACAAGTCGAACTTTATATCATCCTATCGCTCTGTAGAGTCTATAACGAACTTTGTTGTTTGTACATTGAGCTGTTTATGCATTGCATAAGTATCGTTATCATGATACTTCATTCTTATTGTACGTTAGTCCTATACTAATTACATATTTATATGACGATATAATTATGTATACTATAAGTATACTGATGGGACTGATATATAATTCTTTTGTTACAATGCAAATGTTTCGATAAGCTCCTTATTAAATTTCATATCAAGGCGTCAAATTTATTAGGTACTTGTCACAAGAATATTATATATAATTTACATCCGATATTCAATATTCAGGAAATATTTCGGCCATTCCATTCAAATTTATTATTCTTTTAAGTATCGCACTCTAATTAATTAAACAGATTGAACTATATGTATTGTACGCACGCTTGCTGATAAGAAAATTATATATTACTGACAAGAAAAAGCAAATGGTCGTGCATATATCACCGTTATGTACGTACATAGCGTGCGTTGTACACAACAAACAATAAAGCCATATAAATGTAGAATGAAATATCTCTCGCTACTGTTTATGTCACATCTAAATCTGCGTGCCTATTTCCAGGATAATAAAATTGAAATTAATGGTTACAGTGATAATGGCAGGTGAGAGATTTCGAATTATATTTCACACTAAATTCGAGAAACATAACGCGTACGAATAATTGCGTCTGTCATTTCTTTAGTGACTCTTAAACGCATGTGGAAAGTATATTCATCTTTAACCCTTAACTGGAGCGATGAGTAACTGGAGCACACAATTTCCATGGACCCATCTCCCTTTCTATGCTAAAAATAGCAGATGTATTGTAAAAGTGAGTTTATTGTAAGCTGTAAAAGTTCTAGAAGAGCAAATAGAAAAATATTTAGAAAACATAAAGAAAGATTAAATTTATAAAATATAAACAAGATATATTCTAGACCACTCAAAAACATGTTTCGTTGATGTAGGTAGCTTTCTAGATATTGTAACAAAAATTTCGTCGTAAATTTTTTGTATCTGGTAGAATACATTGTTTGTAACATGTAGAATTTATGGCAGCAAATTCTAGTAATATCTTCTGGCAAATTTAGGTCCCCTTATCAAATATTAGTCACTGTTTTGGATAAATATGAAATTTCAGTTGAAACGATTTTTGTGAAAAACAATTTACTTATTTATCACAATCAAATTTTATAACAAAAATAATTAGCCTTAACATGGAGAGGCGTCAAAGAAAGACTTTTTTTTTTTTAATTTCATTAGCAATTCATAAATTCTTTCTCTCATTTAAATTGATTACATATAAAATATCCGATATTACACAATATTATTTATAATTATTATTTATCTATTTTAGTTAATTTTTCATATTTAAAAAATTATTACTGTTGCAAGATCATTTTTTTTAGTGTAATCATTCATCAATAAAATACTTTTGATAGAAATATCATATCACTTTAGCTAAGAATTAATATAATACATAAAATTATTGAAAAAAAATTAATTTCCTCTATAGTTTTGTCGAAGAAGCTTTAATTGCAAAAAAATAATTAGTCTTTTCTACGCGGAATACAAAATAATGATCTAGAATCGGAATCAAACTAATGATTGAGAAAAATTTAAAAATAGTACATAATTGTCTAAATAAATTAAATTACTAAATTTTGCAAACTGACGTTAGAAGAAACATGTAACATGAGAAATCATACGTTATATACAGATCGCGTGCGTTACGTTCAAATGTGTTATTTTTTTTTTGAAAAATGAATAATTTGAGAATTACTTGTTAAAGCATATTCATCACATTCGCCAGACAGGACATAAATCATGCTTGTATCTCTCAATCGCCTCTGTGCGGAATATACGAGGACTCGTGATATTCGCTTCTCGTTCTCACAAGCTCCACTCATCGTAGAGCGGTCGAATCTCTCGAGTAGCACTTAGCGTCGTCAAAGCCACGCGTCGCCTGTCAAATCTGCTCTAGTGCACAGCATATGTTTCAAAATGTAATAAAAATTTCCTCGATAAATATTTTTCAGAGACGAACGCTACATTCGAACTTGTATAGAGAACGGACTCTACGCAAAAATGTTTTGATATTACTATCTCGCTCCGATCGTCGAAATTGTTTTTGTTTGCGGGACAATCTATTCATTGCGTTATTAAAAATCAAGTTCTCTAGAAAAGACCACGAGTATATTGAAAATTTATAAAGATACAAGTCTGAATTTTATTCTTGCGAGCAATGTTGAAGTAAAATTTTGATTAGTACTAAGATCTGACAGAAATTTTGATTTACGTGATTCTAATCTCATCGATTTATAATTGATAGTGTTGCGATCAACATTGTTACGTTGAGCGATTATCCGATTAATATAAGTCTAGATAAATGAAGAAAAACTCACCAGCAAAAACTGCCGTGCTATTGTGTCGTGGATCGTAAGGGCAAAGCCCCAAACCATCTATTTCGCTTTTCTTCACGTATGCTCCATCCTGGAATACAAATGATAAATTTTACATTATGCGACCAAACTTTTTAATTTTTTATTTTTCTTCAATTTTTTTATTTATGCACATAACTTCTGACAATGTCTATGATAAAATAACATGTGCTATATTTATTTCATAACATTGTACAATTGAAATACAATGACATTTGAAAGCTGAAATAAAATGATCGTTTTCGGGTTAATAGTTTGGAAGCTTTTTGAAAATTGTGAATCTGGCACCGATTTTAAAATATCATTATATCGCTTGAGATTTGTGTTCGCGAAATAATAAAATAATGTACTAAGTACATCTCTATCGCGAATGTCAGATATAATTTTGGATATGTCGTCCGCGATAAATGAACTTGCTTGCACGAAGCTTTCTCTTCTTTCGTGTATTCATTCCTCTTCTTTCTTTCTTTCTTTCTATCCCTTTTGGTTCACATTTTATGTGAGAATATGTCAGAATATATGCATATATAAGCTATGAAATATTTCATGAGATATTCACTTTTCGATCATCTCTTTTATCCCCGTATTTCTATACGCAAACGACTAAAAAAAAATCGATTTACATAAAAAAGAAATGATAGTTCTAAAAAACTAAAATAACATTTAAATTCCACAAATTATTCTACATATAAAAAGTAATAATTTCAGATTAAATTACGCACTAAATCGTGCTGTAAAATATAGTACAGTAAAAAATTTAATATTGATCTATTTTTTACAGATATGAAATAGAAAACAGTTCATGAAATTACTCATTATTAATTGGTTTGTCTTGCGTAATATAGCCATCTATTGAGATATTCGCATTTGCATACCCCTATATAATGGAAAATGTGTATAATGCCACGCAATAATATAGTTTCAAGATATTAGCAAGTTAATAACTAATTCCAATTGCAATTACCGCGCGTGTACCTTTTTAACTACATTAATGGACAATCGAAATATTACAATATAATTTATCTATCGGCTGGACTTTTGATCATTTGTTGAAATAACGGTGGACATGATAATAAAATAATTATACCGAATCAATTAAGCGAGCGGCCTATAACATATTTTATCAAATATTTAGCCACACAAATAAATAATATGTATATGTAATAATTGCGATGACTGATTGCTAATTTTAATATTTTTCATGATATTTATTAATTATTTGTTAATCATTTAATTGAATATTTTATTGCGACAATATAAACTTGCAAAATTTAATTTGTGAATATACGTGCATTTGTATCACAATTTACTTAAACATCAAATGTTTAATAAAAGAAATGGTAAAAAGATATGACAAATCTACTAACCCGATTCGTAATATAATAATATAGCCAATTGTGACATATCCTAATGACTCACAGAATGATCGATATGTCAATCTATTATTGATTTATCGCTAAATCTATTATTGATTTATCGCTAAAAAAACCTCGAAATTTCGTATTCGTCTCTCGTCGTGCTGTGACTAAAATCACTCGAGACCTACGGATTTTACGAGCGGTTCGTATATAGAGCGAATTTGATAAACTGACCGCAATAGAAAACTGCAAGACGAGTACAAGTCCCTTTAAATCTGAATTGATCTTATCTAATTTTTCCTTCATAAAAGTTTAAAATAGAAAGTGACAAATAAAATGTCGTGAATTTTTAAACATTAAATTCAATTAAATTCGTATAATTAATTCTATTATTAATCCTATTAGTTCACCCGATAAATCCAGACTTTATTCTTAATAAATAACATTTTATATCTCACATAGTGATATTGTGAAGAATAATATAAACAGAAAACAATGGAATCAATATTATACGAATTTGAATCTTCTTATAAAGATTATTGGAAAACAATTACATTGTATCTTTGAAATAGCTTTTCCTAAATAAATCGATCAAAAAATTTTAATGTCTTATGTCTTCGATTTTTATTAGAATCGTTTAGAAAGTTATATTAGAGTGTGGATTGTTGAGCTATTTGTGACGTAGAACAATTTTTGTATATATATATTTTTTGCTATACGATAGCTTATCGTTGAACTGTCATTGGTTTCGAGCGTTGTTTAGTATAAATTGCATTCGCAGCAAACGAATACGATGGTCGAAAAATATCGGAAAAAATCCGCCGAGATAAGATAATTAAAAGAGTTTGACGCGGGTACAAGCGATCACCGTGGCCACAATAATATCTCGAATACGAACGGTGTGTCGCAACTCGTGCATGCAACAATGCATGTAAAGAAATTGGAATGCAGTAAGGCTATTCGATACAAACGAGCATTCGATGCAGTGAAACGGCGCAGCCGGGTATTCCGACATGCCGGCTGGATCTCATACAAGATCCTTTATATTTCTTTCGTTTGTTCTCTCTTTCTCTCCTCCTTGGACACCTTCTTCTTTCCTCTATTCCCCTTGCTTGAGACAACATATCCTCGTTTCATCCATTCTCATTCACAGATACATATGAGCAAAATCGTAACAAGCCGATTAGAACAAATGACACACAAGTGGCGAATATTTTTAAAATTAATTCACCTTTTTCCATTTATTTGAAATTAATTTCTAAAGTAACCTTTTCTATCAATATAAGATAAATAATCAATTTAGAAATATTAATATTCGAATCACATCTTTCCCGTCAGTTAGATTGTTATTTATTAATGGAAAAATAGAAAAGAAAAATTAAATTCATGTGTCATATAAAAACTTGTATATATAATCTTATTTCATCGTGGTTAAATCAATTAAAAACATTATTTTTTGAATGAATTTTGCTTGGAAGATGATATTTATGTACATTTATGTGATATTTTATACAAAAAATATTTTCCCCAATAAACTGTCAGAAAGTTTTACATTGTTTATCACGTATCGTGCATATAATGCGCGAACAAAATATATTTATTTTCGGTGTTTTAACACAATCCCAAAGTTCATGAATAATTCGTATCATAATTCGTGGCTTTGTCATAAATTTTGCGGGAAAACAATTGCAAGGCACCGCGGGATACAAGAAAGCTCAGGCTTGTTAATACTTAAAATACAATAATAGTCTGACGTGCAGCAAATAAGAAAACTTTATTATAAATTATGGGTTTGAAACTATTCTTTTTATTGTCCTTTGAGATAATAGATGCATTAATTAATATCCACGAAATATATATATTGAAAATTTTTATTTTTATTTAAAATTTTTATTGAATTAATAAGATTGAATAATAGCATATATTTTTTGCTAAATTTATAACAAAATATAAAGAGAGATACGAAACTCGTATTTGATTTAATAATAATAGAATGATTTATAATTATTATAATAATGTTATTATAATAATTAATTTATAATTGATTAATAATGCTGATATCTGTACTGATTAATTTGTAATATTATATTTTTTAATATAAACTATTATCGAAGATAGGAATATTTCAGAGTATTATTCTGCCGCACATGGTAAACATGCATATAACTCGCTTTAATCTCGCTCGATGGAATTATGATAGCGCGTAAGTAGATGTAATTACAGTGTTCGATGAAATTTAATTACGGTTCAACTTCTGTGTCTTTAAAAAACTACGTAACATTACATAAATCATTTGGTTTACATCACTTTAAGCGATAATAATAATAATAATACTTTTTAATCTCTTTTAAAAGATATATATGTTCAATATTTATATAATTTTAAGCAATCTTTAAATTTGTCATTACCACTTTATTTTTATAAAATATGGAATACTAAGTGTCCATTTTTGGTTAAATTTCAATAATTTTTATTATAATTTCAATAATCTCGATATATTTTTATTATATATATATCGTTCTTTAAGTATTTTCAAGCATCTTTCGATCTTGATTTTTAACCCTTTAAATGTTTTTAAATTTCATCTTATAATTTTTTAATCTTCGTAGAGATAACTTTTTAGTTACATCTCAATTCATATTAAATCATGTTATTGAATTATTGTTATAAAGGACAAATTAGAGATGATTTTAAATCGCTTATTAATACGCGAGAAAAGTACATTTTTGTGATTGACTCATATTTATTTACTAGTTGTAGGTGAGATTTTCCATTGTAAATTTTGTGAGAAATTGCTATAATTGCGAAACACCGCAGGGAACAACCGCGCGAGTTTCATCTTCGCACGTTCGGCTTGTCGCGATATAATTTGCCAAGTTCGAAAACTTTCGAGTGTAAACTGCACAGTTCTCGTTTCCCTCCGACATTGTTTCGCAACGATCACGACACAATGCCATGCGGTCCTGCATGGCAATTTACCGTTCACCGTTCCATATCATCCGGATTATCGCGTTTGCGGTGGAAGCTTGCTACACGTCCAATATATTAATATATATGCAAATAAATAATTGAATAAACAAACAAAAAGATAATTAAACTTGCATATTTATTTTTATTTTGCTTCATTATTTCTGTATTTATTTTTATTTTTTTTTTGCATATCGCATGATTTTTTGTGAATTCGGGAAGGTAAAAATATAAATTTAAATCCCAACAAAAAATCCCAATTTATTTTCGAAAGTATTATTTATGTTTGTGATTGTGTTAAGTTTATAAATGTGCACAACGTATAGTCGGAGCGATAAAAGTAAATTCTCTGTTTATTAAAATACAAATTGTATTTTATTTTATAAAGTTTAAGAGTAAATTGACTTTTAGTCTTATTAAAGGGAGAAAGAGATAGAGAGAAAGGAAAAAGCTCGCCAAATATAATAAAAATCTTGTTTGATATAAATCTTTTACATATCGTGATAATTGCAGAATGTTATATAAAATGTAAATTTAGCTAGATGTAAATTGTTTTACCAATATTTCTTAAATAAGCACATACAATGTTTATGGTAATAGCTCATGTATTCTCCCTCTTTCCCTTTTTGTTCTCGCAAAAATCGCTTTATATTTAAAATTATAAATTTATTATGACTTTAATGAAACATTAATCTTTCGTATAGCCTCTCATGTTTTTAACAGTTTA